ATCCTTATACGGGAACTTTCGTTAGTCAAGTTCATATTTCAGTAGAGTGGATGTGAATAGCAAAAAAAAAAAAGAATTTTGCCTCCTTTCTTACGACTCTCTGTTAATTGTTCCATGATTGTTTCTCAAGGAATGTATCTTTCAAAACCTATTCAGACATTTCAACGGGTGCCACACTTAACCTTTGTACCTTTTTCATTGCCACAGTATATTCTCTTTTTTTACCGATCTAGTATAAAAGTTTGTTTCTTGGACATTAGAAGAGAAAATTCACTTTTTTGAAACATCTCTCTTCCTGCAATTCAGAGGGTATTCTGTTGATTTATGGGTTCAAAGCATAAATCACCAGTCAAAGAGAACATGTGTCAAAAGACACCTTGTTTTCTCCAAACTTTAAAGCTTATTTTAATTTTTTTGGTTCATAATAGCATTATTCGCATACATTAATGAAGTACGTAACATGCATTAATAGAATCAAATAAATTGATTTCATGATGTATCAGATAAAACAAAATTTGGTTTACATGAAATAGTTATGATAGTCCTGCCAATTTTGCATGGTTCGACTGTATTTTGTCAATTATACATATTATAATGAATATATACATGTTTTACACGTTCATTGATGTCTTCTTGAATTAAGATTGACTTTGACGGTAACAGTTTTATGTTACTCGTGTTGGCATAGCATTTTTATTTGGATTCTGTTGCCCATTATCAGATAAAAGGTAGTGCATTACCTGCCCAACACTAATGTTTTATTAAGGTTAATCCTACACTGCCACTTAAAATCGACAATAATACAAGTGAACTTTGAATTTCATACGGTTGCATTCCGTTTACGGAATCAATTGTAACGAAACAGCTTCCGGGGTCTAACATTTGATACAGATATGCAGTGATTTCAGCATGCAACAGTGTCGCATGATTTCAGCATGCGACAATTAGTTGGAGACCTAAAAAAATCTCCCCACATCCAAATCTGTTCCAAATAATTTTATTTCCCCAATCTAAATAATTTATTCTTAATTTCAAACTTAGCGACAAATTATGTCTTTGTTTTGAAAAAGTGATGAAAATGTAAAGCTTGAATAAAAACAACTATTTTATTGGTTCGGTAATTAGTTTGCAATAATTATCTATGCTACAATTTTCAGTTTATATTAAATACTTTTTATTTAGTATTATTTTTAAATAATATTAAGGGATTACTAATATATTTTATCAGTTTCTTGATTCGTAAATGTATTAAAATAAAAAAAAATTTGACTTCAATTAAATATTTGAATGAAATAAAAATAAAAAACTATTACAGCCTTTGGCAGCCGTCCGAAAAATAATTTGAATGCCTTTTATTTTCATAGCTTTTTACTTTAAAATAGAATTTTGATTAATGGAATAAAATTGCAAGTTTTTCTTAGACATTTAAAAAAAAATATAGGAGGTATATTTAAGGTACTTGATCTGTAACCATAAAATTTGGTCAAAATACATTTAAAAAATTTGCTAATAGATATCAAAAGCTTCTAAATGTACATACATAGAAAATAAAGTACATAATCATACATACAATATAATACTAAATACAGTTTGATTGGATAAACGACGTACGAAGTACGTGTTTTTCTTACTGTAATAACGTAAAGCAACCCAGAAAGCAACAAATAGTAATAAATAAAACATTAGAATTATTTTAGCTTTATTATTTGTATATCTAACAGTTTTGTGCATGATTTCGAGTGTTGTTTAGTACTGATTTATAATTTTTTTCAGTTAATAATAAATGTAATTCTTAGATCCGAGAGGAAACTTTCTTATAATTCAAGAATTATAAACAAAACATCCAACAACAAATTGTAAAGTTTTTTTAAGCTCTGTCTATTAACGCATTAGTATAAATTAATCTTTCACTTTGTATGTGATAGAGAGACAAGATAAAGTAGCGAAACGTGTGGGTTTCTCGACGTACTTACATACATATTCAAACGAATTGTGTCAGAGAAAGAAAAAAAAGAGTTGGAAAAAAATTTAATGAAAATCAAAGATAGATTTCAAAGAAAGAAAACTGTACAAGGCACAATATTAAGGGGGAAGAATAAATCTTGGTAGGAGAGAAAATGTATACTCACCTTGATGTCAACAAACGTCAAGTCGTCGCTTAGTTACGGGGAAAATGGCATTTAACTCCAAGAGCAACGGTTGCTAACGCATTATTCAGAAGCCTGCGAGGTTTTCAGTAGGAGGGGCCAAATGATAAAAACGTCATGATTACGTCATGGTATGCTGGCATTGCTTTTTCTATGTTATTAAATTTCAAAGTGGCCGAATCACGCTATCTGGCTTTCACCAGTTGAAAATGTAAACTTGCAATGAAAAAAAATAATCAATTGTGAAATAAACTAATAATTTTCAGTATATTTAATCTAAACATTCTTTTTCTTTGCTCTTCTTTCCAAAAGTTACCTCATTTACCTTATGCTACAACAGTTAAGAGGGCGCTGCTATATCACGATTGTTGTCCAAACTAGAGCTACTAGACCAAACTAGAGCACGTCCAAACTAGAGCTACACAATGGGCTATTGGCGACAGTCTGGGAAACATCCCAGAGGATGATCCGAAGACATGCCATCACAATTTTGATCCTCTGCGGAGGAGATGGCACCCCCGCTTCGGTAGCCCGACGACCTGCGCGCGAAGTCGAGCACTTTACGGTAGCACAGTTTAACGAGGACCAATACCGCACACCCTCGGTCCCTACGCAGACTGATCCAAGTGGTCACCCACCCGCACACTGACCGTAGCCAGTGATGCGTGACTTCGGTGATCTGCTGGGAACCGAGTCTTAACGATCAGTCCACTGCTGGACTGCTATACCACGAAAGAAACTTTTCATCGCAAATTCTCTTTCACCTCCATAAGCTATTTAAAATCTAGAAAAAGTGACATCAAACCTGCAAAAAGCCATGAAGTGGGGGGGGGGATGTTAAAAATATCAAAATGTGAGTCTAATGAGCCCAATTTTCGAGGATAGGCAGATACTTTATTTACGTTACACTAGAGCTGCACAGTGGGCTATTGGCGACGATCTAGGAAACATCTCTGAGATTGATCCGAAAACATATGCCATCACAAAATTTGTGATGGCAACATTCTCAATTTCAACATAGATCTGAAGGGGAAGGAAATTTTCTCCAGATCCCTATAAGGTACAGCTCAACGATCAACCACAAGACAATCAATTCCACTGATTTACTGCCACTTTAAATTTGGCAAATGAGAAAAAAATTCTTAGATTTGCTCCACAAAAAGATTACCCAAATATTTTAATATGTTTTATATTTCATGAATTTAATTCGATTCAGGAAAGTTTTCTTTATTTGTCTGAAATATTGAGGGGTCCATGCTTTGAAGTAATTATGGAGGTGAAACAGCGATGAAAAGTTTCTCCCACTGTACTTATAAGGGCAAAGAACGAAATAACTTTATCTTAAAATATACCATCTTTATCGGATTCTCAAAGATTTATCCCCACCTCTTCATGAAGATTTTTATTACATAGATTTTTATTCTCAAAGATACTATTTTGTCTTATTGTTGGAAATTAAGTACCTCTTCAGGGCTCCCTCCCTATTTCTTTTTTTTACAAGAAAATTTTCCCCCTTACTTCTCAGTACGATTTCCCACCATCCTAAGCGGCGCATTGTAACTCCTCATTGCGATGTAAACTCTTTTCTCATCGTGTCATCTTTGCTCATTTGTTTTAAATGCACCGTTTTTTTTTACGTCTCCAACATGAAAATAACTTTTTCAAGACTCATAATTACAAGGTAAGCAATGGTGTAAAGCATATTGCTATCATTCATGCTCTTATATAGAGTAGAGCCCCTGAATTAAAAAGCTGACCGGTCAGCCATTTCGGAGAAAAACTTTTACCGGTGAGGAAGAGCCACTTAACCACTTAACGCTACAGACAATGATAACGCTACAAACAACGATAACGTAAGAAAAACGAGTTTACTTACATCGATTTACACTGTTTTCCGAAATTTTTTTTGTCCACTTGAATAAATTCATTACAAAATTTATTATTACTGTTATTTAAAATTAAAGTATTATTACTAGATGGAAACAGTCACATTTTTGGTTCTTTAATAATTACAAAAATAAAATAAAACACAAATCCTGGTTTTGGATAACGAATCCATTTCAGTCTTTTTGGAATTTTCTCCTCTTTTCAGTTGTATAGGAATGTACTATGCTATTTTCTTAGTCCCGCAGTGGACTGATCTTTAAGACACGGTTCCCAGCTGATCACAATAGTCAAGCATCACTGGCTGTGGTCAGTGTTACCACTTGGATCAGTCTGCGTAGGGACCGAGGGTGTGCGGCATTCGTCCTCGTTAAACTGTTCTACCGTAAAGTGCTCGACTTCGCGCGCAGGTCGTTGGGCAACCGAAGCGGGGATGCCATCCCCTCTGCAGAGGATCAAAATTGTGATGGCATGTCTTCGGATCATCCTCAAGGATGTTTCCCAGACCGTCGCCAATAGCCCATTGTTTTCAGCTCTAGTGCGACGTAAATCAACTACAACAACAACAATTCGCAACACTCGAATACGCCATCTGGGGAGAGACCGGTTTCATGCCTTTAGCCCTTCTCCCTTCCCTCTCCTCCTCTTTTCAGTTGTATAGTAATGTACTACGATATTTTCCCCTTTCTTAATATTTTTCCTTTTTATTCAATAAAAATATTTTTTAAAATTTCCATGATACTTTTCTTCAGAACTATGTTTAATGCAGTTTTCAGTTCCATATAGTTTTTCAAGTTAAAAGATTTTAATCTATATGAAAATCAAGAGAGAAACTAGCGTACTTCCTCCCTCTATGACTTTCCACACGCTAATGGGGAAAGCATGTGAAGTGTTGCCATAGGAAAAGAGTTCTGCTCTACGCCACCTGCAGCCCATTTCGATCGCCAATCAAAATTAATCTGTAGGAAAATTCTATCTAGTTCAGCCATGTTTCGGAAGGAAAAAAATCGATTCAACTTTTTTGTTACTTAACGAACGTTAAATTTGGCAATGGATTTAAACTTTGAGTGAACCCTTAACGTTTGTGTCAGGAAAACAAACAGACCTAGCTACTTGATTGAATGACATGAATGTAGTTTATGATTCCGTTCTTGAAGTTTATAATAATGGATTTTTCTAGTGATCATTCTTCTAACTATTCGACTGCTATTGATGCAGCATTTCAATGTATAACTTCAAGTCACTCTAATTCTCACAACTTATCTGAACTTCCATGGGACAGATTTTCACGATGGGTTTATTGTATATGTGTAGTAACTTTCGATTTAGAACTCGGACAGGCAATGGAAGTATGTTCTAATAAATTTACGTACTGTTAAAGAAAAAAAATGGAAATAATATCTGGGCAGTAATGTAGCCTCATGAAAAATAATAACGAAACAACGTCATGAATTTTAAAATAAAAACAATTAGGACTTTTTACATTGGTAAAAAGTCTTAATTACTTTTGAAAATCATGCTATTTTAAATATATTTATCACCTACAAATTATGTCAATAAACTAAAAACCCCCGTACCATGATCAGCAGCAGAATAATCTCCAAGTCTCTGCAACTTAAAGACAACAGCCCGCGAGAAACTAAAAAAAGAATCTCAGAGGGGACCATCTAAGCATACTAGTGGCCTTTCCCAGACTAACATATGCAAGTTTTTTATGTACATATATATATATATATATTTGCAAGTTTAAAATCCATTTGACACTATGGCACAACAGATCAGGATATTAATATAATCCCCTTCAACAAAATTGCATCTGGCCTGCAACAAAAATTTAGAAAAGGCTATTTTCTTGTGAGAATGAAACACCACTATGTTAATGATTCTTTTTTAATTATTTTATTATTTCCAGCTATAAGTGATATTTATTAGGTAATTTTTTCTGAAAAACAGGGTTAGAGAAGGTGGGTTAGAGAATTTGAAATGAATTTGATTGCAAGAAAGCGTGGGAGTGGGAAAAATTACAGCTGCGTTGACCATTCTTTGGTGTAATATTAAGCATGAAAAAATAAATAAAAAGCAGTAGTAACAAGTAGAAAAAATAAGGATGAAATTTCCAGTGGGGCTTCTAAAAAGCAAAATTTTCTAAAGGAAAAACAAAAAACTAATACTATATAGGTACGCAAAATTACGGTACTTCTAAATTAAGTCAAAAATAAAACAAAGTTAGACACATATTCAAACATGTGATCATTATTCTAATTTTCTTTACATGCAGGGAAAACTAAAATGTCATTTTTGACTCAAATATTTTGATATCAGAATGTTTCTCTAGAAATGTCATGACAGTGAGAACCAGGGACATTTTCTGAAACAGTTTTTAATATTGAAAAATAAAAGTTTTTATTTGTTAATGCAGTATTTTGTTTGGTTTCAGATGGTGTATCCTGCTCATGTAAAATTAACAGAAAAAGAGGTATTGCCCTTATTGTTTGAATCTTAAATAGTTAAGAGACTGTATAATTAATGTTTCTATAATATTTAATAAACTCTTTTTTTTTCTATTTAACTTTTCTTTTAATCAAAAATATATTTTGTGTAACATATAATAAATTGGTGACATTCTGTTTCATTTATCATGATTTAAAAATCAGTTGAGTTTGAATTTGTAATGTTCCTGTATGCTGTTGTATTTTTACGAAAGTAGCATTTTCAACATTTGAATTATTAATTATTTTTCAAATAATTAAATAAAATATTTAGTTAATATACGAATTTTAAAGTAATCGCCTAACTTTACATTTAATATTGTTAGGGTAGAAAATATGTGGAGATGTGACTTTTCACGTCTCTACACTGACTGAGGGTAATAAACCTAAAAATAATAATTATTACCTCAATTCAAAGGTTTTTAATTATCGGATTTTTTCCACTTTTTCATGGAATTTCGCTTTTTCCAATTAAATGAAAAAAAAAAAAATTCTGACTTTAAGAAAAAAAAGCGCTTTTGAATTCACAATTGTATTCACAAGATCACATAGTGTAATTTGTATTTTCAAGATTTAAAATTACGCTTATATTGTTGTGATTTAAAATTACCGACCACAACTCGCATTTCCGTGATCCAAAATCACGTGGAGGTTCTTATGTACACAACATCTTCCTATGGATATCTTTCCTATGTTTTCTTCTTCTCAAATTTCAGTTATTTTTAGATTATGTAAAATTTGTTTATATTGTTTGTGGAAATGACTCTTAATACAACTTCAATGCTTCATACCCAGTTAATTTATCATTGGACAAATAAGAGACCACATCACTTTTTATAAAAGGTGATACAATCCCTTTTTAAATTATAATTATTTGTGTCATTTAATTTCAGGGTGTGTAGCGTTTTTTAAAAGTGTTTAAAGGTGCTTATTTTCGTTTTCTTAAAAGCCCTTAGAGGTGCATTTTTCATTGGGTGTTTTTAAAAAGTACTTAATTTCCTCTTTTTCAAAATGAGATTTTTACTTTACCATGTTGATTTTCACTACGCATTATGCAAAAAGACACGGTTCACATTGTTCTATTCAACGTTTTAACAATTCATTCAACCCCAATCTAATTTGGCGTATGTCTGTCCATTGCGTATGAAAACACCATTCGTTTTACATGATTCAAAATTTCATGATTTTTGACAATTGTCAAAAACAGTGCGAATTGTTTTTTTGACATCGCAGTTAAACAAGATAAAACCGTCAATTGTCAAACACTTTTAAGCCCTGCCTTGTCATGATATTTTTTTAAAGCTTGCTTAAAAATATTTTTGAGTGCTTGAAAAGTGCTTAAAAAGTGCTTGAAAGGTACTTATTTTTTGTTGTATAATTTGGCTCCGCCCCCTGAATTTACAATTTGAAAAAACTAATTTTTCAATTGTTAAACACTTTTAAGCCCTTCCTTGTTATGATATTTTTTTAAAAGTGCTTAAAAATATTTTTGAGTGCTTAAAAGGTGCTTATTTTTTGTTGTATAATTTGGCTACGCACCCTGAATTTACAATTTAAAAAAACTAATTTTTCAATTGTCAAACACTTTTAAGCCCTTCCTTGTTATGATATTTTTTTAAAAGTGCTTAAAAATATTTTTGAGTGCTTAAAAGGTGCTTATTTTTTGTTGTATAATTTAGCTACGCACCCTGAATTTACAATTTAAAAAAACTATTTTTTTTTGTGCCTGAATTTGAAAGAAATGTCTAATTTAAGTGGACTGTAGCATTTTCTTGATGAAAACTACAGTAGAGAACCATTTATCCGGTATCCAGATAACCGGGAAAAATTTTGCTCTATTTTCCCGCCATTTTAAACTAGAAAGATTTTAAACTAGAACGAAAAACGCGGAAATTGGACTCATCATTGAAGTTGAGTAGAGGAAAATATAAGGAAGGGATTTTTTTTTCCCCGTTTACCTAGAGAAACGTCATTTTCTCCGTGACCTTGAAGGCAGGGAAGGGAGGAATGTTTTATTTTTTCCTTTAGGCCGTCAATCAAACTCAAGGGTGTGGCATGCTGATTTCGTTTTCTGCTTGATTTACGAGGGGGGTGGGGAAAATGCATTGCATGCATATCAGTGAACAGAAAAAGAAAAGAGAAAAATATATTTATTTGACATCGACTAATAAAAATAAAATCTTTTTCTTTTGAATAAATTCTTATTCTTTGGAAGTGCGGTATCAATTACAAGTTTTTCTTGGTGTGGAATCACATCTGCTGTAATTAAAAATCTTGTTTTTATCAACAAAAAAATAAAATAAAAGGAGAATTGTTTATTATTTTAAACATAGGATTATTTTATGAAGCAGATTGCAGTTTTGTTTTT